AGGTACTGTGATGGTATAAATAGGTACTGTGATGGTATGAATAGGTACTGTGATGGTATGAATAGGTACTGTGATGGTATGAATAGGTACTGTGATGGTATGAATAGGTACTGATGGTATGAATAGGTACTGATGTGGTATGAATAGGTACTGTGGTGGTATAAATAGGTACTGTGATGGTATAAATAGGTACTGTGATGGTATAAATAGGCACTGTGATAGTATGATTAGGTACTGTGATGGTATGAATAGGTACTGTGGTGGTATAAATAGGTACTGTAGTGGTATAAATAGGTACTGTGGTATAAATATGTACTACAGTGGTATAAATAGGTACATTATGTATATTATGAATTCATTAGATACTGCAATGGTAAACATAATTAACATACATTATGTATATTATGCATTCATTAGATACTGTGATTGTATAAATAATTAACATACAATATGTATATTATACATTCATTAGATAGTGATGTTATAAATAATTAACATGCAATATGTATATTAAGCATTCATTAGATACTGTGATGGTATAAATAATTAACATACATTATGTATATTATGCATTCCTTATACACTGTGATGGTATAAATAATTAACATACACTATGTATATTATATATTCATAATGTACTGTGATGGTATAAATAATTAGCATACTATGTGTATATTATGCATTGATTGGATACTGTGATGGTATAAATAATTAACATACATTATGTATATTATGCATTCCTTAGATAGTGATGGTATAAATAATTAACATACATTATGTATATGTATGTATTCGTTAGATACTGTGATGGTATAAATAATTAACATACATTATGTATATTATGCATTCATTAGGTATTGTGGTTGTATACTTACTATTTACGTCCTGTACCTATGTTCCGTTTTGGATAAGTGACTTTACTGATAGGTTTCGTGGAGGTGTAATGCAGATTAAATATTCAACTGATCCTGCCAATATGCCGACTACCTGGACAGATATTAATCAAAGTCCGGTCGATTTCTTTATCGGAAATCATTCATTATGGACTGTGTATTTCGGACCATTTGCACCATGCACCACAGTATACATCGATGCTCAATTAGAAAAGAATGGTCTAACATCATATTTGGGTAATTTTAGTGTATCGACTGGTAAGTACAATAAAACAGATTTATTTAATTATTATTGCTAACTAAGCTTAATATTTTAGTTTAACACTAAACGAATAACAGGACCATCGAAATAATTGTATTTGTTCAGAGGAATGTTTTTGTTCTTGTACATTGTATGCATGTTCAATTGCTGTGAAATATATGTGAAAAGGTGGAGGTAGTATATTTTTAGCTGTGTTTGACCTATAGAATATCCGATATAGCTTACTAATAAGTTGTCATCTTTGTCTTCTCTGAATGCGCCATCAATATATGCATTATTAAGTTTGCTCCTGGCATATGTACCCTATT